GACACCAAAAGCATGAGCAACAAAAGAAAAAAAGACAAATAAGACTTCATCAAAAATAAAAACTTTTTGGGGCATGTGGGTGGCTCAGGTGGTTAAACATCTGACTCTTGGTCTCAGCTCAGGTCTTCATCTCAGGGTTGTAAGTTCAACCCCTGCATTGGGCTCCATGCTGAGCATGGAGCCTACTTTAAAAAAATAACATAACATAACATAACATAACATAACATAACATAACATAACATAACATAACACAACACAACAATAAAATAAAATAAAATAAAATAAAATAAAATAAAATAAAATAAAATAAAATAAAACAAAATAAAATCTATTGTGCTTCAAAGAACACTATCAAGAATGTGAAAAAACCCACAGACTGGGAAAAAATATTGCAAAGCAGACACCTTATAAAAGAATATTAAATTCACATTGTGGAAAATATGAAGAATAAATAAATAATTCTTATATCTCAAAAGTACATAGACAAATGACCAAAGTAAAAATAAGCAAAGAATCTGAATGGACATGTCACCAAAGAAGATATACAAATGGCTAATAAGCACAAGAAAAGATGCTCAATATCATAAGCCATCAGGGAAATCCAAGTCAAAACCACAATGAGATACCACATCACATCCACCACGATGGTTATAATCAAAGTCAAATAATAACAAATGTTGACAAAGATGTAAAGAGATTGGAATTTTCATACACTGCTTGTAGGAATGTAAAAGAATGCAGCAGCCATTTGGGGAAACAATCGGACAGTTCCTCAAAGGACAAATACGGAGTTACCACATGTCCAGCAAGTCCACTCCTAAATATATACCCAATAGAAATGAAAACATGTCCATATAAAAACTTGTACATAAATGTTTATAGCAACATTCTTCATAACAGCCAAAAGGTAGGAAAAAAACCAAATGTTTATCAACCAATGAATGAAAAACAAATATAGTATACCCATACAATGAAATTTTAATCTGGCTCAGTCGGTTAAGCATTGGACTCCTGGTTTCAGCTCAGGTCATGATCTCACCGCTTCATGAGTTTGAGCCCCACACTGGGCTCTGCGCTGGTAGTGCGGAGCCTGCTTGAGATACACACTCTCTCTCTCTTTCTCTCTCTCTCTCTCTCTCTCTCTCTCTCGCTCTCTCTCTCTCTCTCTCTTGCTCTCTGCCCATCCCCTACTCACGCTCTCTCAAAAATAAACAAACTTAAAAAACAAAAGTAAAACCATTATCATTTATAAAATATCCCAATAAAATCCAGCAGTTCCTTAAGAGAAAACACACTATGACACAGTTTTTATGCTAAGAAAACAAGGATTAATATTAAGAATAAAATATGTATTGGGGTACCTGAGTGGCTCAGTCTGGTTAAGCCTCCAGGTCATGATCTCCCAGTTTGTGGGTTCAAGCTCCGGGTTTGTGAGTTCAAGTTCTGTGTCGGGCTCAGTGCTGACAGCTCAGAGCCTGGAGCCTACTTCGGATTCTGTCTGTCTGTCTGTGTCTCTCCCTCTCTCTCTCCACCTCCCCCACTCGTGCACGCACATGCGCTCTCTCTCTCAAAAATAAACAAATATTATAAAAAATTTAAAAGAAGAAAACATGTGTCAATAGGTAAAAAAAAAGATAAATTATACACTGTAGACAAATTTGGAGATAGGGGTCAGGAAAGTGAAAAAGGGGTTCAGGCCTGATGTTGAACATCAGGCGAGGGCTAGAGGCTAAGAGTGAAGATGTGCAAGAAGCGGAGGGAGGAAACACAAAGATTTCCAAACACTGTTCATGACCCAGTTAAAAGATGGAGACCAAGAATTTCTGGTGATACCAATCCATATAACCGAATTATCTTCCCTAGCACAGCTCAGAAATTTAAGTTTAGGAATTACAAGGAGAGGTGTTTGAAATGATCCATGTTCAACGGCCTGCAGAACCAGTGTTAAGACCAACACGGTAAAAGCTCTGAACCACTCACTTCCTAAACTCCTTAAAAAGACTTGGTTGTAAGGCTGGGCACATTTCACTCTGAACTTACAAAGTCTCATGCCTTAGCTCAGTCTCACAACTACAAACTTAATTGCTACCTTATACATTACCATTAGTACATCCTTATGATCTAATAAGAGAGAAATAAGTGAATCAAACTCTTACAGTTTTGTCATTTAACTTGACACTAGACAGAACTAAATGTTTCCTATCATTTGGTCTCATCCTTTTAATACACTGCATTAAATACTACACAACTTATCTTCAAAAAACTTTATAGTTCATAAATTTCTAGCAAGAAACACTAAAGTCTCTTTCCCTTTTAAACATCTTCCAACTTATGCCAGTAAAATTTAATGTCAGCAAACTAAGGGAAAAAAATCATAATACTCTTTATATCATCTTAAAACCACCTTTACTTTAATTTTTTAATGTTTATTCATTTTTGAGAGACAGAGAGTCAGAACATGAGCGGGGGAGGGGCAGAGAGAGAGGGGAAACAGAATCCAAAGCAGGCTCCAAGCTCTGAGCTGTCAGCACAAAGTCCGATGCAGGGCTCAAACTCACAAACCATGAGATCATGACCTGAGCCAAAGTCAGATGCTTAACCAACTGAGCCACCCAGGCGCCCCTTAAAACTACATTTAATACTGAACACCTTCTATACCTTCATATATTCTCCAAGGTAAGCAGTAAAATACCTGATTTCTCTTAAAACAAAAACAAAAAAAAACCCACTTCTTTGGGGGGTGGGGAGAAACACTAGGCTCTAAGAAGTAGGGTTGTCTATTATATATAGATCACTATTAGACGGGATAATAATTTTTCATAGTGTCTATAATAAGAGTTAAAGTGGTTTAATACACTCCTCCTCTAGGCTTGGAGATATAAATTTAAATACTAATAGTTTGATTCAAACAAGAAATCATAGAACAAAATAAAAGTTAGGAGACCTCATCCACAAGTGTAGCTTTAATTATGGTCTATATGCAGATAACTTACAGCTTGAAATCTCCAACCCAGACTTCTCCTTTGATCTCCAAAAACAATCTTAACACTCATCTCAGCCAATCCCATCAACCCCTCCCTCCCATCACTCCCACCTCTAACCTGGCCATATCTCAATATTTGACACAATCATTCATCCAATAATCTAACACCAAACACCTTCTTGCCTCCATGTTCCACACCTAATCCATTACTAGTGTAATAATAATGTAAAATTAATGGATAAGTACAATGATTTTACCTCTTAAATATTTCTCCAATCAGTCTGGTTTTTTTTCTATATCCACCAACACCTCCTTGTTGCAAAATATGGTCATCTTTTGCCTGGCAATACTGCAATGGCTTACTAATTAGCATCCCTGACATATTGCCACTTCCCCTTCCCCATCCTGCTGTCAAAGCTGTTCTCCACTCTGCTACAAAGTGATGTTTCTGAAACACAAATTTTACTATATACCCCATTTTCAATGACTTTCCAAAGCTCCAGAGATAAATCTTTTATCTATATTGGCCTTTAGTTTCCTGGAAATGCCATGCTTTCTCCCACATTACCTTTCCATGTGCCTTTCCCTCAACTGAGAGGCTTTCTCTTTGCTAGTTAACTTTAATTTGTCTTCAGATCTTAGCTCTATCAGAAGAACTTCCTCAGGGAAGCTTTCCCCAGCTTCACTAACAAGATCAGATTCCATTTCCGTATGCTTCCAAAGCATGTTAATACATATCAGTTTTACTTTTATTCATGTGGCCAAATGAATTGTCTGCCTCCCTCTTATGTGAACACTAGTGAGGCAGAGATAAAAAAAAAAAAAAAAAAAAAAAAAAAAAAAAAAAAAAAAAAAAAAAAACGTTTGGGTTCACCAAGGTTCCAACCAGCACAACAGGTGAATGCCCTAATGAGTGCTCAATGAGTAAGTGCCCACTGGAATATTTACCAGGCAAAACAATAATTCTTTAATGATCAACAGTCTATAGGCAGCAATGTCCAAAAGAACTTTCTGTGATTAAGGAACTATTCCGTATCTGCACTTTCCAATAGTGGCCGCTAGTCAAGTGTGGCTATTGAGCACTTAGTATAACAGAGGCATTGAATTTTTAGTTTAATTAACTATACTTTGCTGCATTTTGTCACTCTGCATAGTTTACATACATCTTGTCTATGGAGCAGTCCTAGACAATAAACCCCTGGGCTTCTTTTGGTCCCCACACATACCCTGCACACAACAGAAACTTAATAAATGTCTGATGATTTGATATCTGAATTGTAGAGCAAACTTTCTTTTTCTCCCTGAGAAGCTAATGAATTAAATGTAGTTATTTTCAAACCGGTCTTCAGAAGCCAACCATAAAATCAGCTCTTTCTCCATTGTGTAATACCTTGTGCTTTCTAGCTTTCCAGACTGTTTGGAACTGCCGCATAAACCTCCTGCTACCGACTGGGGACCCCTCTATTGCTACAAACGAGGGTCCGGTGAAGTACAATAGGCGAGGAGCCTCTGGAGACTAATCATGTAGTGTCCATAATCCACACTACTCCCTCAAGAAGAGTCCTGCCCTTCAGGCATACTAATCTAATTGTCTCCCCAACAAAAGAGTCCCTGGGCAACCTTACTCTCCACTCCAACACCGCCGTTTTCCCCTCCCGCAGGGCACAAGGAGCCCCACCTCCCTCCCAAAGCGTTGCTTCACCACACCCACTGGGAATACTGGCTCTCAGAACATCTGGTGTAATTCAAAAAGCCCGGGACCCAACGAGAGGAGTAAACAAGAGAGGTCTTTGCCAGCAAGAATGGGAAACTTGGCGTAGCCAACCAGAACCTGAACAAGAGTGTGGGCCCAGGACGCGAGATGGCCCCTACAAGGCTCTAAAAGCACGCTTATTATTTGTCGGGCACCGTGACCCGCAGCGAGCAGGAGGCAGCAGGGTAGAAAGCAGGCGGAGCGCTCAGGGACTACCCGTCACCCTGCCCGACGGCAGCCCACATCTCTCCCCGCCTGGCTCACCTTCTCCGGGCCGGTCCGCTCGTCCTCCAAGAAGCGGTGGCTCGGGCGCGACGACGAAAGCAAACTCCCGCTGGGGTGCGCCTGCAGCCAGGCCTTGGCCTCCTCGTCGTCCTCGTCGTCCGTGCTCTCCCGTGGCTGGCTCTCGTAATTAAAGTCCGAGTCCAGCTCCCGCCCCTCCCCTTCCTCCACCTCCACCACCTCGACCACTTCGTCCTCTTCCTGGTTCGCAGACTCCTCCGCCTGTTCCTCCTCCTCCTCCTCGAGCTCGCCGGGCCACGGCAGGTCCTCAGGCTCCATGTTGGCGTCTCGCTCTAGGAGGCAGAGGAGGAGGGGGAGAGGGGAAAGGGGAGGAAGGGTAGGGGAAGAGAGCTGACTGGCGGTTGCGGCCGCGCGCAGGCGCAAAGTCCGCCGCGGCCTCGCACCCGGCGCCGCGACGCGCGGACGGGGCGGGGCAGGGAGTGAGAGCGCGGGTTGCTAAGGACGCCCCGCGGGGAGGCCCGAGGTGTGGCTGGAGCTGGCGAGGGAGTGGCCTAGCCCTCGTCACACGCTGGGACGTTGCTCACAGTACTGAAAGCTCACAATAAACTCGGACTGGGGTCTTCTCGAGGGAGGGGAGAATTTCGTCCTCGGTTGGACCAAGTCAAAACTGAATTTTGCCCTTGCACCGGGAGGAGATCAGACTCTAGGATAAACCTATGATATAGTCAAACTTGCAAGTTACAAATTTTTAAAGGTTGAGTGCCTGCCATGCGACAGGCTGTATGATGGGCACTTGAACCTAGCGGCGAAAAAGTGGGGCGGTAGAGGGGTTAAGCTGGTACCAGAAAAATGGAAGTTTGAATCCTGACATCGCCACTTACATTGGTGTGACTGAGCCTCTATGAAATGATAAGAGGCCTTCACATAGGATGGTTGTGATAATCAAAGCAGATAACCAACGTAAAGGACTTAGTGGTAGGTATTATTCATTGATTATTGTGCGGTAACTCATTAAATGCCCGCAGTTCTGTGAGATTAGTATTAATACCATTTCATATTTGAAGAATCTAAGGCTCAGAAAAATAACGTGCCCAAAGCCTCTTACCTAGTAATTGGCTGGCTGTGCAATCCCAAGTCTTCTGTAAATCCAGTAAATTGCCCTGGCCCAGACCTATAAGCTAATAAAGAATAAAGAGTAAGTATTTGTGCTGATAGTACATACATTTTTAGTCTAGTCAATGACTTTGAAATGCTTTGGAAACAAAGCTTTCCTGATTAATTCAGGAACCCCTATAAAAGAAATAGCAAATTAAAGAATCTTGAGATGCTTTGCTATTACCTAAGGAGACAGCCATAATTAGAATCCAGCAAAAGTTCTTCATGGTACCTATCCACAATAGCAGAGATAAATTGGTAGTGATATCAAACCAACATTGGCTAGGTAATTTTTAGGAGTACTGTCAAGGATGTATGTCCTATCTCTCTATGACCCAATTCTAGCAAAACTATAAAGATAGAACATGAACTGGAGCCCAAAGCCTCAGGGCTCCTGTGAACATCTCTAAATGGACTATGAGTATATTCAAACACCACTCTTCTTATGACAAGTTGAGGCTTTTCCTTGCTAGAGAGCTATGGATATAATGATAGAAAAAGAAATTTGCTTGATTTTGTGTTCCTGACTGGAGAAACCCAGTAACAGGGACACACATTTCATTGATACTGTTATTAAATAATTCTGTAAACCTTTACCATTTACTTAGAAACTCCACTATGCTTATCATCCACAAATTTCAGGAAAAATGAAGGGAACTAATGGAATTCTAAAACTAAGTATCAAAGTTCTCGGAAACTCTCCAACCTCCAAGGCCCAAAGTACTTCCATTTGCCTTCATAGCAAGGACATCATTCTACTCTAGGATCCACAAGTTATCTCCTTCTGAGTTCATAACAGGCTGCCTCATGTACTTGGGAATTATTTCCAATATAGATTCTACCTTAAAACAAGCTGATATGACTAATTGCTGCAGGGGACCCACACTATAACTCCTGCTTTACCAACAATAGGTGGAAGCTGCATTTCCAAAGCACCTACCTAAGCAGTTTCTGCAGGATCTGAAATCCAGAGATTTCTGAAAAAAGCATCAGAAAAAAAAAAATTTCCCTTGATCCTCAATGGAAAAATCTCATCAGGCACCGTTAAGGACAACCCAACAGTAAAACTACAAGGCTTTGATCCTTGGATTCATGTTACTCAACAAAAAAATACATGCATCATTTTTTCTGGGATATTGGATGTCTAATCCATTCATTGCAAGACCTCAAAACAAAGATTCTCAGGAATTCTCCAGAGCTGCTGACTACAGAAATGGATAGCGTATGCCCATTACAACAGAACAAGATTGATTTTCTGATTCTTCAGTATCCTTCACCCTACCACTAATCTTGCCTATTACTGTTCTTTGACAACCCTTTTAACTAACAAAATGATGTCTCTATATGATCCCCTTGATCTTCATACTGTTACTTTTGACTCCCTGTGCTCTTCTGCCACTTACAAAAAAGCAATTTTAAAAAAGAAAGAAAAGAATAGAAAAACAATATGCTCTGATGTGTTTTTCTCAAGCCATAGCCACTGCTCTTAATTTAATGGCTGAAATGTTTCAGTCTTTTCAGCAGCTTCCACATTCCAAGTCAGTAGTCTGAAAGATAAGCTGATGTCCCCTGAGTCTGAACCTTCCAGAGAACAAATTGGAGTCCTCCTTCAACCTCATCAGCCTTTAAACAAATGGCTGTACCTTTGAGTTCCACCAATATATCCCTATATCTTTTCACCCATTTTCCTTAGGAACCCAAACACAAGATGATGTGGAGGACGGCACTGGTAGAGAAAAGGAGATCGATAAGGAAGTAATAACAGTACTTCAGATAATGAATGCAGGTGCAGATAGTGGGAGGGAGGGAAGAGAATACAGATGCAAAAGCTACATGGAGGTGACATCATAGGACCTGGTGACTGGGTTTGGGGAGGAGAGGTAGAAGGAAGGAATAAGATCAATCCCACATTTTGGTTTGGGCAGCCCAGCTGATGATGGAAATACAGAAGTAGGAACATGCAGGTCTTTAGGGAAAGGTCATGAGTTCGGTTTGGAGCATATTGAGTTTTAGTAGCCTAAGACATATCAAGTTAAGGATGTTCAGTCAGGACTTGTAGATACAAGACTGGGACTCGGGGAAGAGGGAGGGGTGGGTTGCTGACAACAAGCACATAGGTGTTGGAGAAAGTCACAACTCAGTGTAAAACAGAAGTGGGCCATGAATGGAACCCTGAATAACATGCACATTCCAAAAGAGGAAGAGGAGAACACAGACTGAGAAGAAACTACCAGAGATAGGAAGAGAACACAAAAATAGCAGTAATATAAAATATGGGAAATCAAATACAGTTGGCAAACAACACAGGTTTGAACTGAACAGGCATTTCTACATGGATTTTGGGGGGCGGGGGGGTAAATACAGTACAGTACTACAGAAGTAGTTTCTCTTCCTTATGATTTTTTTTGTTAACACTTTCTATTCTCCAGCTTACTTCATTGTAAGAAAACAATACATAATACACATAATGTACAAAATATGTGTTGGGGCGCCTGGGTGGCTCAGTTGATCGAGTCTCACTTTGGCTCAGGTCATGATTTTGCAGTTCGTGAGTTCAAGCCCTCTGTGTCGGGGG